GGAGGAGATTCCAGGAGACGAGAGCACGGAGGAGATTCCAGGAGACGAGAGCACGGAGGAGATTCCAGGAGACGAGAGCACGGAGGAGATTCCAGGAGACGAGAGCACGGAGGAGATTCCAGGAGACGAGAGCACGGAGGAGATTCCAGGAGACGAGAGCACGGAGGAGATTCCAGGAGACGAGAGCACGGAGGAGATTCCAGGAGACAGGCAGTTCCTCTAGGAGGGCTGGACAGGGCCATAGAAGGTCCTCAACCCATCAGCAGGACCGGTATCTGCTCCTTTGTACAAGGAGGAACAGGATGAGCCCTGCCAGAGCCCTACAAAATGACCTCCAGCAGGCCACTGGTGGGAATGTCTCTGACCAAACAATCAGAAACAGACTTCATGAGGGTGGTCTGAGGGTCCGACGTCCTCTAGTGGGCCCTGTGCTCACTGCCCGGCACCATAGAGCTGGATTGGCATTTGCCATTGAATCCCAGAATTGGCAGGTCCACCACTGGCGCCCTGTGCTTTTCACAGATGAGAGCAGGTTCCCCCTGAGCACATGTGACAGACATGAAAGGGTCTGGAGAAGCCGTGGAGAACGTTCTGCTGCCTGTAACATGGTTCAGCATGACCGTTGTGGTGGTGGGTCAGTGATGGTCTGGGGAGGCATCTCCATGGAGGGACACACAGACCTCTACAGGCTAGACAATGGCACCTGACTGCCATTAGGTAAGCGGATTAAATCGTTGGACCCATTGTCAGCCCCTATGATGGTGCAGTGGGTCCTTGGCTCCTCCCGGTGCGGTGGCTCCTGGGTTCCTCCCGGTGCGGTGGCTCCTGGGTTCCTCCCGGTGCGGTGGCTCCTGGGTTCCTCCCGGTGCGGTGGCTCCTGGGTTCCTCCCGGTGCGGTGGCTCCTGGGTTCCTCCCGGTGCGGTGGCTCCTGGGTTCCTCCCGGTGCGGTGGCTCCTGGGTTCCTCCCGGTGCGGTGGCTCCTGGGCTCCTCCTGGTGCAGGACAATGCCCAGCCTCATGTGGGGAGAGTATGCAGGCAGTTCCTGGAGGATGAAGGAATTGATACCACTGAATGGCCCCCACACTCACCTGACCTAAATCCAATAGAACCCCTCCGGGATGTCATGTTTCGGTCCATCCGACGCCGCCAGGTTGCACCTCAGACTGTCCAGGAGCTCAGTGATGCCCTGGTACAGATCTGGGAGGAAATCCCCCAGGACACCATCCGTGGTCTCATTAGGACCCTCCCCCGACATTGTCAGGCATGCATACAAGCATGTGGGGGCCACACAAAACTACTGAGGGCCATTCTGAGTTGCTGCAATGACATTTCACCAACATGGACTCGCCTGCTGCATCATTCCTTCACTTTGATTTTCGGGGTGTCAGTGAATTCAGTCCTCTGTAGGTCAATCATTTTCATTTCCATCCAACGATGGGGCGTCCTTACGTTCCTCACCCATCCCCCGTCCATGTCAGTATAGAGATCCAGCAGGAGATTCCTCCCCATTGGGATCTGTTGGGTTTTCAAGGTCTTCCTTTCATTTTTTTGAGCCGTGTATATAGGGAGGTTGTCTTTTCGTGACTGAGGAACTACAAGGTACAGCAGGAGTACAGTGCGCCTGATCAGCCAGGTATGTAGGTAGGGCATCTGTCTGTAAGGGTGGCTGTGATTGGGGAACTACAAGGTCCTGCAGGAGTGCAGTGAGCCTGATCAGTCCTGTGAGTGTCTAAGGAACTACAGGGACCAACACGACTACGGTGAGCCTGATCACGCGGGCATGTAGATAGGCACGCTGTCTGTGACTGAGGAACTACATGGCCTAGCAGGAGTACAGTGAGCCTGATTACCTGGGTATGTAGGGAGGTTGTCTGTTTGTGATTGGGGAACTAGAAGGCCTAGCAGGAGTACAGTGAGCCAGATCATCATATGGTATGTAGAGAGGCTGTGTGCCTGTGATTGGGAAACTAAAAGTTCTGCAGGAGTACAGTGAGCCAGATCATCCCTGTATAAAGGGAGGCTGTCTGCTGGTGACAGGAAGTACAAGGCCCAGCAGGAGTACAGTGAGCCAGATCACCCCCAGGTGTCTAGGAAAATTGTGATTTGGGAACTACAAGGTCCAGCAGGAATGCAGTGAGGCGGATCAGCCCTGTATATAGAGAGGCTGCCTGTGAGTGTTTAAGGGACTACAGCGAACAACATGAGTACAGTGAGCCTGATCACCCGCCCAAGAGGCAGGCTGTCTGTGGAACTACAAGGCCCAGCAGGTGTACAGGGAGCCTAAACTCCCCCGTATATAGGAAGACTGTTGGTGACTGAGGAAGTACAAAGCCCAGTAGGAGTACAGTGAGCCTGATTACCCCCAGGGATGTGGGGGAGGGGGACATTGCTACTGAGGAACTACAAGGCCCAGCAGGGGTGCAGTGATCGGCCCTATATAAAGGAAGGCTGTCTGTGAATGTCTAAAGAACTACAGGGACCAGCACGACTACAGTGAGTCTGATCACCAGAGTATGTAGGGAGGTGGTTTGTGATTGGGGAACTACAACGCCCTGCAGTAATATAGTGAGCCAGATCACCCCAAGGTATGTAGGGAGGCTGTGTGCCTGTGACTGGGGAACTACAAGGTCCAGCAGGAGTACAGTGATCCTGATCACCAGGGTATGTAGGCAGGCTGTGTGCCTGTGACTGGGGAACTACAAGGTCCAGCAGGAGTATAGTGAGCCAGATCACCAGGGTATGTAGGGAGGCTGTGTGCCTGTGACTGGGGAACTACAAGGTCCAGCAGGAGTACAGTGAGCCTGATTACCAGGGTATGTAGGGAGGCTGTGTGACTGGGGAACTACAAGGTCCAGCAGGAGTACAGTGAGCCTGATCACCAGGGTATGTAGGCAGGCTGTGTGCCTGTGACTGGGGAACTACAAGGTCCAGCAGGAGTATAGTGAGCCAGATCACCAGGGTATGTAGGGAGGCTGTGTGCCTGTGACTGGGGAACTACAAGGTCCAGCAGGAGTACAGTGAGCCTGATTACCAGGGTATGTAGGGAGGCTGTGTGACTGGGGAACTACAAGGTCCAGCAGGAGTACAGTGAGCCTGATCACCAGGGTATGTAGGGAGGCTGTGTGCCTGTGACTGGGGAACTACAAGGCCCAACAGGAGTACAGTGAGCCTGATTACCAGGGTATGTAGGGAGGCTGTGTGCCTGTGACTGGGGAACTACAAGGTCCAGCAGGAGTACAGTGCTCCTGATCACCAGGGTATGTAGGGAGGCTGTGTGCCTGTGACTGGGGAACTACAAGGTCCAGCAGGAGTACAGTGATCCTGATCACCAGGGTATGTAGGGAGGCTGTGTGCCTGTGACTGGAGAACTACAAGGCCCAGCAGGAGTACAGTGAGCCTGATCACCAGGGTATGTAGGGAAGGTATCTGTGATGGAGGAACTGCAATGCCCAGCAGGAGCACAGAAAGGGCAACATCATAGCTATGGGAGTCCTTCCAGCTGGGGAACCATGAGGTCAACAGGAGAACTGTGAGCCTGATCACCACATTATATAGGTCTGCTACCAAAGAACTACAAATCCCAGCAAGGACACACTGAGCCTGGTCACTCCCACACACAGGTCTGCTCTCCTATGGCTTTACATTTCTGATGAGCTAGAAGTCACAGCAGGAGCACAGTGAGCCTCATCACCTTAGTACATAGGCCTGGTGAACTGCAGATCTCAGCAAGAGCACAGTGAGGGGATGTACATAGCTGTGTGAGGCCTTGCTGCCACTGGGGTGCCATAAGATCAGCAGGAGGAGGACTGTGAGCCCGGTGCTTTACAATTACCAACAAACTACAATTCCCTTCAGGGATACTGTGATCCTGAGGAGGGGGAAACGGGGGGCGGCGCTGTGGGACGGAGGGGGGGGCGGTGTTGTGGGACGGAGGAGGAAGCGGGGGGCGGCGTTGTGGGACGGAGGAGGAAGCGGGGGGCGGCGTTGTGGGACGCAGGAGGAAGCGGGGGGCGGCATTGTGGGACGGAGGAGGAAGTGGGGGCGGCGTGGTGGGACGGAGGAGGAAGCGGGGGGCGGCGTGGTGGGACGGAGGAGGAAGCGGGGGGCGGCGTGGTGGGACGGAGGAGGAAGCGGGGGGGCGGCGTGGTGGGACGGAGGAGGAGGCGGGGGGCGGCGTGGTGGGACGGAGGAGGAAGCGGGGGGGGCGGCGTGGTGGGACGGAGGAGGAAGCGGGGGGCGGCGTGGTGGGACGGAGGAGGAAGCGGGGGGGGCGGCGTTGTGGGACGGAGGAGGAAGCGGGGGGCGGCGTGGTGGGACGGAGGAGGAAGCGGGGGGCGGCGTGGTGGGACGGAGGAGGAGGCGGGGGGGCGGCGTGGTGGGACGGAGGAGGAGGCGGGGGCCGGCGTGGTGGGACGGAGGAGGAGGCGGGGGGGCGGCGTGGTGGGACGGAGGAGGAGGCGGGGGCCGGCGTGGTGGGACGGAGGAGGAGGCGGCGTGGTGGGACGGAGGAGGAGGCGGCGTGGTGGGACGGAGGAGGAGGCGGCGTGGTGGGACGGAGGAGGGGGCGGCGTGGTGGGACGGAGGAGGAGGCGGGGGGCGGCGTGGTGGGACGGAGGAGGAAGCGGGGGTGCGGCGTGGTGGGACGGAGGAGGAAGCGGGGGGGGCGGCGTGGTGGGACGGAGGAGGAAGCGGGGGGCGGCGTGGTGGGACGGAGGAGGAAGCGGGGGGCGGCGTGGTGGGACGGAGGAGGAAGCGGGGGGCGGCGTGGTGGGACGGAGGAGGAAGTGGGGGCACGAACCTGGAGTGTGGTGCAGCGATTTTTGTTTTTTAATATGCTAAATAAAATGTTTTTGGATTTGCATTTTGACAAAACTTTCCCCCTCCAGCCTGAAGCGATCCGCAGAGGTTTCTAAACCCGACGCACAGCCTGCCTGCCTTCTGGTGTTTCTGATTCTTCTCCTGTGAGCCCCGGGGACCCGGTACAGCCGGCAGAGACCAGATGTTGCCTGATAGCAGGTGAGGGCGAATGTTCGGTGGCCAATAAGGTCCCGGCGTTTGGTTTGATCTCCCGGGACGCTGTGCATTGATATGGTGACGTCAGGTGCAGAGTGGTGGGAAAGTGTCCGGACTGGAAGGGGGGAAGGTGTCCGGACTGGAAGGGGGGGGGGGAAGTGTCCGGACTGGAAGGGGGGAAGTGTCCGGACTGGAAGGGGGGGGGGAAGGTGTCCGGACTGGAAGGGGGGGGGGGGAAGTGTCCGGACTGGAAGGGGGGAAAGTGTCCGGACTGGAAGGGGGGGGGCTAAGTGTCCGGACTGGAAGGAGGGGGGGAAATGTCCGGACTGGAAGGGGGGGGAAGTGTCTGGACTGGAAGGGGGGGGGGGGGGGGGGGTGTCCGGACTGGAAGGGGGGGGGGGGGTAGTGTCCGGACTGGAAGTGGTTAAAAAAAAAAGGTAAAATATGAATCCCTTCTGCTGACATGTAAGCACTCATCCGCGTCCCTCACACACTGTATATGTAACCAGCAGTCGCACCACTTGAGGTATCGCAGTGACTATCAGATGGAGAGCGATATTTCGAGCTGCAGACCTCCTGCGTCACTCTAAACTGGTCACCTGTAAAGGCTTTTCAGTCGTCGCCTATAGATAATTCAATGCCCGCAGTTTGCCGCCATTCCATGGGTGTGCGCAGTTTTGAAGTGTGACACGTTTGGTATCTATTTGCTCAGCGTAACTTTCTGTTTTATATTGGGTGTTCTGTAGTGTCTGTGTGCATTACAGTTCAGTACAGTGTGATCACGTCGGAGATCCCCCCCCCCCTTCACATTAGAGGTCCCTCCCCCGGTCTGTATACAATGTGTGTGTGACTATATATACAGTATCTCCCAGAAGTGAGCCCCCCCCCCTCCCCCTCACATTTGTGTCAATATTTAATTCTCTCTTTCCATGTGACAACACTGAAGAGATGACACTTTGCTACAATGTGACGTAGTCAGAGTACAGTTTGTATAACATGGAAATTTGCCGTCCCCTCAAAATAACTCAACACTCCGCCATTAATGTCTAAACCGCCGGCAACAAAAGTGACTCCGCCCCTAAGTGACAAGGTCCAAATTGGGCCCAAAGTGCAATATTTTGTGTGGCCGCCATTATTTTCCAGCACTGCCTTCACCCTCTCAGACATGAAGGTCACCAGAGCTTCACAGGCTGCCACTGGAGTCCTCTTCCACTCCTCCATGACGTCATCACGGAGCTGGTGGATGTTAGAGACCTTGCGCTCCTCCACCTTCCATTTGAGGACGCCCCACAGATGCTCAACAGGGTTTAGGTCTGGAGACATGCTTGGCCAGTCCATCACCTTCACCCTCAGCTTCTGTAGTAAGGCAGTGGTGGTCTGGGAGGTGTGTTTGGGGTCGTTATGTTGGAATATTGCCCTGCGGCCCATCTCTGGGGGGAGGGGATCATTGCTCTGCTTCAGTATGTCACAGTACATGTTGGCATTCATGGTTCCCTCAATGATCTATAGCCCCCCAGTGCCGGCAGCAGCACTCATGCAGCCCCAGACCATGACACTCCCACCACCATGGGGCCCCAGACCGTGACACTCCCACCACCATGGGGCCCCAGACCATGACACTCCCACCACCATGCAGCCCCAGACCATGACACTCCCACCACCATGGGGCCCCAGACCGTGACACTCCCACCACCATGGGGCCCCAGACCGTGACGCCCCCACCACCATGGGGCCCCAGACCGTGACGCCCCCACCACCACCATGGGGCCCCAGACCGTGACGCCCCCACCACCATGGGGCCCCAGACCGTGACGCCCCCACCACCATGGGGCCCCAGACCGTGACGCCCCCCCACCATGGGGCCCCAGACCGTGACGCCCCCACCACCATGGGGCCCCAGACCCAGACCCCACCACCATGGGGCCCCAGACCGTGACGCCCCCACCACCATGGGGCCCCAGACCGTGACGCCCCCACCACCATGGGGCCCCAGACCGTGACGCCCCCACCACCATGGGGCCCCAGACCGTGACGCCCCCACCACCATGGGGCCCCAGACCGTGACGCCCCCACCACCATGGGGCCCCAGACCGTGACGCCCCCACCACCATGGGGCCCCAGACCGTGACGCCCCCACCACCATGGGGCCCCAGACCGTGACGCCCCCACCACCATGGGGCCCCAGACCGTGACGCCCCCACCACCATGGGGCCCCAGACCGTGACGCCCCCACCACCATGGGGCCCCAGACCGTGACGCCCCCACCACCATGGGGCCCCAGACCGTGACGCCCCCACCACCATGGGGCCCCAGACCGTGACGCCCCCACCACCATGGGGCCCCAGACCGTGACGCCCCCACCACCATGGGGCCCCAGACCGTGACGCCCCCCACCACCATGGGGCCCCAGACCGTGACGCCCCCCACCACCATGGGGCCCCAGACCGTGACGCCCCCCACCACCATGGGGCCCCAGACCGTGACGCCCCCCACCACCATGGGGCCCCAGACCGTGACGCCCCCCACCACCATGGGGCCCCAGACCGTGACGCCCCCCACCACCATGGGGCCCCAGACCGTGACGCCCCCCACCACCATGGGGCCCCAGACCGTGACACCCCCCACCACCATGGGGCCCCAGACCGTGACACCCCCCACCACCATGGGGCCCCAGACCGTGACCCCCCCACCACCATGGGGCCCCAGACCGTGACCCCCCCACCACCATGCGGCCCCAGACCGTGACCCCCCCACCACCATGCGGCCCCAGACCGTGACCCCCCCACCACCATGCGGCCCCAGACCGTGACCCTCCCACCACCATGCGGCCCCAGACCGTGACACTCCCACCACCATGCGGCCCCAGACCGTGACACCCCCCACCACCATGCGGCCCCAGACCGTGACACCCCCACCACCATGGGGCCTCAGACCGTGACACCACCATGCTTGACTGTAGGCAAGACACACGTGTCTTTGTACTCCTCACCTGGTTGCCGCCACACACACGCTTGACACCATCTGACGTTGCCTCCTGACACCACCTGACATTGGTTCTTCCATGCACACCGGCCACTAATTCCTGTTCATTCCTTGCAGGAAGAGGCGGAGGGACAATGATGTCTCCCAGCTCCCGCAGTCAAAGAGGAGCAGCCGGAGTCCCACGTTGCAGGAGTGGGAGGCGGAAGCGGAGGTAAGGGCCCCATCTTTTGGATGGTCCGGGTTTGTCTTTTTATTTTATTTTTTTCAGAGAAAGTCCACTTTACAGTCCAAATGAACATCCGATAAATACCTTCCAGGTGCGTCTGCATGAAATCCATGCAAAGGCTGCGGGGGCCAACACAGCCTAAGTAGAAAAGCCTGTCCCCTGCCAGCCTGCTGAGGAAAAGGGACAACAGCTGTGCAGCTCGGAGTTCACCTTTCAATTTACCTGAAGTTGCAGAATTTTATGGGTTTTTTTTTTGGGGGGGGGGGGGGGGGGGGAGATTATATTTTCTTTTATTTTTGTTTTGTGTTTTCTCTTTGGATTTAATTTTCTCTTTTTTTTTTGTTTTTTTCTTGTGGGGTTTTTTTGTGATTTTATTTTCTCACGTTTTATGGTTTAATTTTCTTCTTTTTATGCTATTTTCTTATTTTTGTTTGTGTTGGGTTTTTTTTTTCTTATTTTCACATTTTTTTCTTGTGGGTTTTTTTGTAATTTTAATTTTCTTATTTTTTGACATTTAATCTCTCCTTTTTTTTGTTTTTTTGTTTTTTAGTGTGATTTTATTTTCAGGTTTCTTTTGTTTTAAATTCTATTTTTTCTTTTGGGGGGGGGGGCTTTGGGGGGTTATTTTTTGTTATTCTACTTTCTTTTTTTTGTGCTTTTTATTTTCTTGTGTTCTTTGTCAGTTTTTTGGTGATTTTTATTTTCTCTTATTTTTGTGGTTTTTCTTTTTTGTTTTTTTTTGTTTGTTTTTGTTTTTTTCATGTTTCGTTGTTTTTTGTTTTTTTTTGGAGGGGGGGGGTTGTGGGGTTATATTTTGTTAGTTTTTTTTCTTTTATTTTTGTGGGGGGGTTTTTTGGTGTGATTTTTATTTTTATGGGGGGTATTTTTATGTTTGTTTTTTTTTAAATTGTATTTTCTCTTATTTTTTGGGGGGCTATTTTTTGTTACTTTCTCTTATTTTTTATTTTTTGATGATTTTCTTTCTTTTTTTTTTTCTTCTCTAGTCTTCAGGAAGCGACAGCAGCAACAGCAACTTCAGCCTGGACAGAAGCAGCGTCTCGGACCACCTCCAGACTGTGGGCAGCTCAGGCCCCGCCACCCCGCAGCCGGTGTCCACCCCCGAGCAGTCCGCTCTCAATCAGGGACCCTACGTACACATCAATCAGATCCTGAAAGAGGCCCACTTTGCCAGTTTACAGCAGCGAGGTTGCCCCTCGTCCTGACCTGCCTGATCGCTCTCCACCAGAACGGGTCGCGTCTTCGGCTCGCCAATACAGCCCGTTCTTCAAAAAAAAAAACAATAAAAAAACCGTCAGCTGTCTTATTGTAGCTCACAACTGACCAGGTAAACTTGACGCCATTCTGTCCTCCTCGCCGGACGCAACAGACGTTTTATTTCCAATAATAATATTTGTGAACGGAGGAGGAGGAGGAGGGGAAACGCTCAGATCATTGGACGGATTTCCATTGTCTGAAATGCCAACTTGCGCTTTTTTTTTTTTCTTTCGAATTGTGTAAATTTTATTTGTATATTATTTTTTTTTTTTTTTTTCCTTTTGATGGGTGACTGAAGCTAGCACTTTTGGGGTAAATACTTAAATTATATCGTCTTAGTTCCACCTCCAGCAGAAAGCAGTACGATCGGGGTTCTGGGAGCTTACACAGAGCCTAACGATTGACCAGCATGCATTGCAGCATGGATAGGGTGTCAAGAGCAATTGAGAGGTAAACCCTTTCGTCCAATCAGAGATCGGCTTCCAGCACAGACACGGGCTCCGTAGTTGTGTAGAAAGTTGTCTTGGGGGGCGCCAGCACTCCCACAACAGTTGCTTGCTGTGGTGGTCCAGGCTGTGGAACCCCGTGGTCCAGGCTGTGGGGTGGCAAGAGCAATTGAGAGGTAAACCCCGTGGTCCAGGCTGTGGAACCCCGTGGTCCAGGCTGTGGAACCCCGTGGTCCAGGCTGTGGAACCCCGTGGTCCAGGCTGTGGAACCCCGTGGTCCAGGCTGTGGAACCCCGTGGTCCAGGCTGTGGAACCCCGTGGTCCAGGCTGTGGAACCCCGTGGTCCCTCACTTAGGGTCTGAAAGAGCCCAGCTGCTCCTGTAACCAGTTAAAGCTGAACTCCGGGCAGAAATTTTAAAGCAACTGACCTCACCAAATGTAGCTTTGTGACCAAGCCCCTCCCGGTGGGCGGGGTGAAATGCTTCAGAGGGCGCGTCCAATACCTTGGCTGAGGCCATTGTTTCAGCATAGGATTCCTGGGGACGGTTGAGCAGAGTCCGTCCCTTCACATCAACAGATGTAGCGTTTAATAATTTGTTGCTGCAGCCACAATGGGAAACCGGCGTAGTAAGGGTGCGGAGACCCCCATGTTCTCTTGTAGGACCAGAACCCGCCCCTTCCTGGATTACTGCTCTTGCAACATCCTCACTGTAGTTCCCCTTTTTACCAGTTGTGGCATTGCTGGCCGCAGTGGGAGGACCCGGGTGTCTCGGACTCTGCCTGTCCTTACTAAGCTGTTGCCCGGCCGAGCAAGGTGGGTGGGGCGTATTCAAGGATTGGCCGCAGACTTGCCCCGTGCCCCCGCATTCACATCCATTCATGGCTACACCGTCCCATTGCATGTCTGGAAGCTTTTTTTTCCATCGGCCCTGCAGAATGACATTGGGGACTGTCTTGGGGCTCGTTCACACGTGCTTTAATCTCTGAAAAGTGATCTGCCTTTTGATGGCTCTTCAGAGGGCATTTGACAGTTATTGAGGAGGCGCTGTATTACTGCCTCAGCGCCTGCCTTTAGCCCCGTGATCACTGTACAGCCGTGCATTGCACACAGTTGCAGGGCTCATGCAGAGCTGCCCTATTCACTTGAATGGGTTGTACTCGGTTGGAGCAACAGAGCATCAATCCTGATGAGGCCACAAAGCATTGCAGCCATGGCAAGTGTAAACCTCTGCTGCTAAGGGGGATAGCGGTAAAAACGCAGCTCAACTGCAGGGTTTTACCACTCCACAACTGAAAGTGTGAAGGAGCCCTAACACCTCCTCCAGTAGCCCAGGTCTAGCTGCAGTTTTTTTTGCACAGTAATTACATCATAGATGTTTAGCCCAGGCATAGCTGCAGTTTCTATTGCACAGTTATGACACCATCAATATTCAGTCCAGGTAAAGCTGCGGTTTCTATTGCACAGAATTGACATTGCCAACCTTTAGCCCAGGCCTAGCAGCAGTTTATATTGCACAGTGATGATATCACTGACTTTAAGCCCAGGCATCGCTGCAGTTTATATTGCATAGTGATGACATCACTGACTTTCAGCCCAGGCCTAGCAGCAGTTTATATTGCACAGTAATGACATCATTGACTTTTAGCCCAGGCATAGCTGCAGTTTCTGTTGCTCAGTGATGACATCACTGACTTTTAGCCCAGGCATAGCTGCAATTTCTGTTGCTCAGTGATGGCATCACTGACTTTCAGCCCAGGCCTAGCTGCAGTTTCTGTTGCTCAGTGATGACATCACTGACTATTAACCCAGGCCTAGCAGCTGTTTTCTATTGCACAGTGATGACATCACTGACTTTTAGCCCAGGCATAGCTGCAATTTCTATTGCACAGTGATGACATCACTGACTTTCAGCCCAGGCATAGCTGCAATTTCTGTTGCTCAGTGATGACATTGCTGACTTTCAGCCCAGGCATAGCTACAGTTTCTGTTGCTCAGTGATGGCATCGCTGACTTTCAGCCCAGGCATAGCTACAGTTTCTATTGCACAGTGATGACATCACCGACTTTCAGCCCAGGCATAGCTACAGTTTCTATTGCACAGTGATGACATCACCGACTTTCAGCCCAGGCATAGCTGCAATTTCTGTTGCTCAGTGATGACAACACTGACTTTTTAAAGTTACTTTACTATGGAACTTGGTGAATTTGAAGAATAAAACATTTACGTTTACATTGTGTTTTATTGATGAGTCAAAATCGTGAACGTGCCTGGAGTTCAGCGGTAACATCCACCTAACCAGAATAGCTGCATCTGATTGGTTGCCATGAGGGTGCAACTGACAATCCTCATTTCCGAGCCATGAGCCCAATTCGGCAAAGGGGCTAGATGAAAAGAAACTGACAGCAAAATACTGGACTGAAAAGTAAAGCGGCCGTTCCTAGCAGTTCTATAACTGGTATCCTTGATCAGACAAACGCTGGTTACTGTGGGCGGCGACTTCACTTTTGCATCGGTGATGTGGTTTCGTGTGGCAAGCCCGGGTGCCATTAACAACACCGCCGCACGTCCACTACATGACGGTGCGCTCCCTGCGTGTTAGGGATGTGTGATATTTGCCGCCTGTTCCTGGCACGCAGGAATGCGATGTTGAGTCAGTGACTGAATGCCGAGGTCTGTGTGTGCCTGCACTGCCACTTAGTGCAGGGGTCTGCACACTTTCTAAACATTGGGTCAGGCTCTGGGGGGGGGGGGGGGGCCAGACTGGCCAGTGGGAGTAGGTAATGACCTGGTGTCGGAGTAAATTGCCCCATCATTGGTGTCAATGGGAGTAAACCATGCCGCATCGTTGGAGGAATAGTGTCCCATCATTGGTGTCAGTGGGAGGAATAGTGCCCCGTCATTGGTGTCAGTGGAAGGAATAGTGCCCCGTCGTTGGTGTCAGTGGGAGGAATAGTGCCCCGTCGTTGGTGTCAGTGGGAGGAATAGTGCCCCGTCGTTGGTGTCAGTGGGAGGAATAGTGCCCCGTCGTTGGTGTCAGTGGGAGGAATAGTGCCCCATCCTTGGCGTCAGTGGGAAGAAAAAGTGCACCTTTGTTGGCGTCCTTGGGGGGAATGGTGACCCATTGTTGGTGTCAGTGCGAGGAATAGTGCCCTTCATTGGTGTCTGTTGGAAGAATAGTGCCCCATCAGTGGTGTCAGTGGGAGGAATAGTGCCCCATCATTGGGGTCGGCGGGAGGAATAGTGCCCCATCATTGGTGTCGGCGGGAGGAATAGTGCCCCATCATTGGTGTCGGCGGGAGGAATAGTGTCCCATCATTGGTGTCGGCGGGAGGAATAGTGCCCCATCATTGGTGTCGGCGGGAGGAATAGTGCCCCATCATTGGTGTCGGCGGGAGGAATAGTGCCCCATCATTGGTGTCGGCGGGAGGAATAGTGCCCCATCATTGGTGTCAGTGGCAGGAATAGTGCCGTGTCAGTGGGAGGAATAGTGCCCCATCATTGGTGTCAGTGGGAGGAATAGTGCCCCATCATTGGTGTCAGTGGCAGGAATAGTGCCGTGTCAGTGGGAGGAATAGTGCCCCATTATTGGTGTCAGTGGGAGGAATAGCCTTCATTGATGGTATCGGGAGAAAAGGAAACCCCATCTTTGGTTTTAGTGGGAAATAACGGGTAATAGTGTTCCATCGTTTATATCGGTGTGAGGAATAGCGCCCCCAAGAGCCTGATAAGGACAAGCAAAGGGCCGCAGTTGGGAGAGCTGTGTACTGGAGGACCTCCATCAAGGCTTCATAGTCTACTGTCTCCTGAGGACACTAAGAATAGATCTGCAGACATCTGAGAGACTTCTTGGGCAAGGTGGACCTTTGTACTAAGCACCCCTCAGTACACACCCAGCAGTGGCTCTGGGCGACACCCATAGGTGACCGATCTCCCAGCAGCACAGTCCTCTCTGGTGCTCCATGAATTAAAGCCATGCCGTACCTCCTGTTTCCTTTCATGATCGGTATGGAGGGTCAGGGTTTTGGTTTTGGTTGTTTTTTTTCCAATGGACTTCTTTGTTTTCCTAGAGATGAAGGATTGTACAGAGGAACACATAATAAAATGCTTCAGACTGCTTTTTTTTTCCCTGTGTCAACTTTTATAGAAGTTGGTTTAGCGAATGCCTCCCGAAGTTGGGTCCTGACCCAGGAAAACCACCCAGCAGGCTTCCATGATTCCAAATGGCATAGACATGCACCAGGAGGCTTGCTTCGGTGACACCGGGGGGGGAGGGTTATTTACCAAAACTGGAGGATGCAGTTCTGGCTAGAAACCAATCGGCTTCCAGGTTTTACTGCCAAAGCTTAAGTGAAGAAGCTGATTGGCCGCTATGCTCAGCTTCCCCAGATTCTGAGTTCCTCCGGTTTTAGTAAGTGTCCCCATTGGTTCTGGGGTCAGGAAGACAATATACACCGACCAGCCATAATATTCTGACCACGGACAGGTGACGTGACTAACATT